CCCCAAAACCCCAAAACCCCAAAACCCCAAAACCCCGAGGATTATGCTCAATATTGAAATTAAGATGTGAATTAGTTGCTTTCATCACAATACCCATGGAAATTTAGAAGTGGTACTCCCTCTCTCACATCCCTTGCAATATTGATACCATCGATTACTGCTGTAGCTACTCAAGCTATTGCGAGGAGCAATGTGCCAAGTCCTAGAATGACGGATGTCCTGAAATGATTGTTGTTAATGAAAGGAAGAACTATAAAAGCTCCTATAAAGGCTCCTGGTAGAATCCATGCTGCAAACCAGAGCATGTAAGTCCATTGATCAATGTCAATTATCATGAAATGTATAACATTGACTGTCCTTACAATCAACTCTAAAAAGAGAGGAGTATGCTCTGAGATATCCTCAGGAAAGTTCAAAGAGTGAAGTAAAGGAGATCATAAGAATGCAAGGCCTACTCCAATCCCAGTTGTTGTGTATCCTGCAAAGATTGAGACAACAGTAACCTTGATAAAAGTCCATAAACTCCAATCATAACTTATTTCATAACCAATATCTCCATGATAAGTGCGTTCATACTTGGTTATCAAGAATACCACTCAGAATATGGCAAGTAATATCAAAGTGTATCCGAGCATTATTAGCCAGTATTTCGTACTACATGGTTCTAGCTGTATAGTCGAGTCAAAATTTCGGCTTCCTCTTAACAAATGCTGGAGAACTATATTTAGAATCCTAACTTACCTAACATGCATATCACTATCAGAACTGGAATAGCTCTTTTTATATATCTAGGTTTATACTTCTGGTCAAACTTCGGATGATTATGGATATCATCAATACCTTCAAAAGCTTGTTGTCTCATTGATTCAACCTTCTCGAGGTATTTCTTCATCTTCTGCTTTTCTTCAGAATCTTCATTATCATCATTAATAGTAAGACTTTCAGAGAATTCAGTGTTGATACTTTCAGAGTTAATGCTGCTTCTTAAGGAATCATTGACTCCATGAATGCTTCCTCCTCTAGTTCATGTAACACTCAAATTCCTCTTCTTTTTCTTCTTCTGAAGTCTCTTATGAAGCTTATATTTGTTAATAGACTGCATAAAGGTCCTTACTAATAGGAAAGCAACAATTAGACAGAAAATAACAGACTCTATTGCTCTTGCAATTATAGCATGGAACACTTCTCCCCAGAAAGCTCCTATTAAGACAAGTGGGAGGATCACTGTAGCGAATTTGAAGTCCACGACCCTCCTGTTCTTGTACTTCTCATTCTTTCTTATTAGTAATGCAATAAATTTTATCAACACTGCGAAGAGGATAGCAGGAGATGCTACCTCAATCGACTCCCTATGGGAAAGGTTAAAGAGAATCTTGGAAATGGGCAGGACGAGTCCTGCACCAAGAAGCCCAATGCCCTTGCTGATAACAGTAACGAAGAAGAGAAGGACTCCTCCTACTATCTCAAAGACTCCGATTTGCATTAAATCTTAGTTTCAAAAATATTTTAGGATTTCGGGGTTTTGGGGTTTTGGGGTTTTGGGG